CCTAAAGTTCTTACCTATTTTTGTGAACCGAAGCCTTCAATCTCCAAAAAACTCTGTTTTTCTCAACGATTATCACAAATTAGTAACAAAATATTTTGATTCACAGCTTTAAGATCAATATGCCTACAAATTTTGAAAGATTCATGCCCTATTTGGCATGAAATTTCAGAAATGGCGGAAACCCTAAACCCCGAATTTTTCTTGATCCAAAAACAACTAATTTTTCCACCATTTAATCCTTGAAAAATCTGAATAAAGCTGTTTACAGCCGGAAAAACAGATCACATGCCGAAAAAAACAAAAAAAATGATCAAAAAATGACAAATTTGAAAAAATCCATGAAGAACACTGTGCAACCCGTGTTCTTCACGGACTCGCCGATTCCGCACAGTGAATCGGCGAGTCACTGTGCAGAATCGTCCGGTTCTCTCTAGAACCGGACGATTCCCGGTTTTTGAACCGATCCGGTACCTTTTTCATGAATTCCGAGTCGAACCGGGCGAGTCCGGTTCGACTCGGCGATTTTTTAAACGCTGAGTTGGACACAATGGAAAAATAATTGCATGCTACCAAGCTCAAGCTCACTGTGGGGGGAGAGAGAGAGAGAGAAAGAGAGAGAGAGAGAGAGAGCCACGTGGGGGCGAGTATGTGTCTGTGAGAGAGAGACCCAACAGGGAGGAGAGACCTTTGGGCTGCCCCAAATTGAGAGAGAGACCCCTTGGGCCAGTGCCCGAACTGAGAGATAGAGAGAGAAAGAACCAAAGCAGGGAGAGACCACTTGGGCCAGTGCCCTAACTGAGAGATAGAAAGAGAGAAATAACCAAAGCAGGGAGAGAACCAGAGAGATAGAGAGCCCCCTTGGGGCTGCCCCAAATTGAGAGAGAGAGGGCCAATGCCCTAACAGAGAGAGAAAGAGAAAGAGAGAACCAGAGCAGAAAAAGAACTAAAGAGAGAGAGGGGGCCAGCGCCCTAACCTAGAGAGAGAGAGAAACAGAGCAGAGAGAGGGAGATCTAGAGCCGTGAGAGAGAGAAAACCAGAGCATAGAGAGAGGCTAGCGCCTTAACCAAGAGTGAAGAGCGGAAGAGAGAGGGAGAATGAGAGAGAGGGAGATCCAGAGCCAAGAGAGAGAAATAGAGCAGAGAGAACGACCATACCTGATGTTGAAGCATATGCCTTCCTACTGGTTCTCCGGATATGGTGCATGTGAGTGAGATTGACAATATGGACCTGGTGCAGCAGCGGTGGGAGAGCGAGAGACGCATATGGTGCAGATGAGTGAGATTGACAGAGATGGACCTGGTGCAGTAGCGGTGAGAGAGCGATAGACGGGATAGGAATGGGGAGAAGCACTACTGCTCCATGGGAAGGGGAGAGAGGGTATTTCGTGGGAAAGGGAAAAGAGAGTATTTTAAAGAGAGTACGGATCTTGAGGTTTTGCTGGCATTAAATGCATCAAATTTGAAAATTTCAAAACTCAAAACTTTAAATTTATAGAATAACTTTTTTTTTATTTACATGTTGACCTACAAATTAAAGTACATACTATTGTTGAAATAAAGCCATATCACGGTCTCATTCTACTATAATGTAATCGTTACATTGTGTCGCTTAGTTTATATATATATATATATATATATATATATATAGAATAAAGAT